ATTTGTTGAGACTATGTTTAACTATTCCTCGTGTAGAGTGGCAGGCCCGACTAACCTCTACCATCTTCCCTCTTCCCCTCTCGGGGAGGGGCTTCCCACTGTTCCTTGTTAGTGTACACCACCTCCGACCAGGGGCAAACCCGAAACCACGACAACCCCCCCCCATCCCTGCGCACTCGCAGGCCCGTCATGCCTGTCGGCGGGCAGGTGGAGTGATTCCTTTGGGAGTGGGGCAATTTGACCCCTTCCCTCCCGTGAATCTGGACGTGGGCGGGGCGACGATGCGTTGGAGCGTTCAAGATGGCCAAATATGGCTCGAATGGGGCCTCATAGAGCACAGTATGACCGCCAAGTTGGCTCAAGGCACATCAAGATGACGAAACCTGTCTCCCAACATACTCCAAGAGCCACCAAGATCGCTTCAAGAAAGCCTAGAGTGGCCACGGAGCCTCCCAAGGGCGCCCCCGACAGGCCCAAACCATAAGGAAATCGATGTGTCTGACCAGATTGCCTTTTCGCGTCCTATGGGCGCTTCTGGCATCAAGATGGCTCCACGATGGCTCAAGAGAGCCCCGAGAGAGGCCCCAAAAGGCTCCAAGCGGCCCTAAGAGCGCCCAAGAGTGACCCATGAGCGCCCTAAGAGGGCCCTAAGAGATCACTTGTGGGGCTCAAGGGAGGTAACGCTAATTAAGACCCCCCCTCGTTGATCGATGACCTGTAGGTGGCGACTCCAGGGCCCCCAAAAGGGCCCCAGCAGACCCACAAGAGAGATCCGAACCCAATATGGCCTCTTAACTTTGATCGAAGTCCTCCAAAGTGGCCTCAAGAGGCCCCTCCGCAGATGGCCCCCAGACGCCCAATTGGCCTCCTGAGAGAACTCCAAGAAACCCCAGGGGGGATATGAGGCAATAAGATTGCTCCAAGAGGTTCCTGGATATTCCAAGATCGCGTTCAACATTCCAAAAGCATCTCCAAATGACTCCAATACGACGTAAAGCAATTCAGAGTAAACGGACCGACAAAGCCTGGTCTCTCGCATCCTCTTCATATCTCTGAGTCCTGTTAGCCTCATTTGCCTCATGCTCCTCTGGCTACGTCGTCGACTTCCCCCCTTACGTTCACTTGTTTGGTCTGCGGCGAACTGACTCCAACAAGCGGTCCAACAAGCGGCTGGGCTAGCGGGACGCGTGGGTAGCTGATTACCCCCTTCGAATCGCACTCATCATCATGCTTCTCTGCCGTCTCCTCGTAGTATGCCCTTTCGCTCGTAGTATGCAATCTGAGCTGTATTGCTCTTGCTGCTGGTCATCCACCCCCGTGCGATTCCTCTTTCACCCTCTCACCAGCCTCCTTCTCCTTCTCTTGGTGCCCTCCTCCCCCTTACTCTTCTTTCACTTCCGTTTCCTTTCGTTCAACGACTGCCTTCTGTCTGGGTATCGTTTCTGCATGAACCAGTGGAGATGTGCAAGTTGTTACCAATTTCGAGGATACTCTGGCAATGGCGGCGAGGGCCTCCAGGACGGACAGCGGAAGAAGTATACATCCGGAGCATGCAATGCCAGGATTTGTCAAAACAGAGCCCTCGACCCAGCGCCGATTCTTCATCGCGCGTCGTCTGGTGACGGCCCCAGGAGGGCCTGGCGAGGGACGCCAAAGGCTGAGTATAGCAAAACACTGCCCGTCGTGGACCTTTCACGACGCGAGCATGCCTGGGCTTTCCGCCTCTTGGGACCATCAGCCACTGGGTGAACCCGGGCACGGCGATCAGCCACGGCAGGGCGATCACGAGCAGCTCCGGCGCGCCGAAGCCCTCGTACCTGACGCCGCCCCCGGGGGAATTCCCTGGCTGTCCCCCGGGGTTCGTCCCCTGTGGGGGGGAGCGGCAGGCGGGACTGGCTCAGGGGGGGAGGCGTCGAGCTGTAAGCAGCGAGATGTCGAAGATAATCTGCGATAGGCCCCCGACACCGAGCCCCCCAGTCCTGGGTGGGCCCCGATCGACGAAGAGAGAGCGATAGGAGATTACTACGTTTCCCCCTGAGCTCGAGCATCCCCCCTCCTCCTCCTCCTCCACCTCCTCCTCCTCTTCCTCCTCCTCTTCCTCCTTCTCCTCCTCCTCCTCCTCCTTTTCCTCCTCCTCCACCTCCCCCTTATCCCCCCCCCTCGTCCTTCTCCTCCTCCTCCTCCTCCGCCTCCTCCTCCTCTTGCTATGTACTCCTGCTTCCCCCTCTCCTCGTCCTTTTCTCTACCACCCCCACCAGCACCAGCACCAGCACCAACACCAAAATCACCACCACCTCCACCTCCACCTTCACCTTCACCTCCACCTCCACTTTCACCTCCACCTCCACCAACCCCCCAGCGCGGGCGCGGGAGCGCGAGCGCGGGATGGGGAGACTCATTACGCCCGAGACGTCGTTAAGGGCACGTTCCCGTCACTTGCCACGGCGGGCGCACAACGCAAGCGACACAGAGGCGAGGCTGAGAGAGGGGGTGCGAGGACGAGGAGGGGGAGGGCGAGGACGAGGAGGGGGAGGGCGAGGATGCTGGGAAAGGAGGAGGGCGAGGAGGAGGAGGAGAAAAAAGAGGATGGCGAGAGGAACGCGAGGAGACGGAGGAGCATGAGGACGTGGACGCTGGCCTTCGGGCCATGACTCGGGCCTCGGGCGGCCGACGAAACGACCTGGGCAACCTCGGTAACGCGGTCGGCGAGGCGCAGCTGCTGAAGAACACCCCGAGGCGAGGGAACCTCCAAGAACCCACGACAGCTCCCCAGAACTCGATCGCCTCCTGGAGGGCCGATGCAGCTACTCGACGAATGTCTCCAGGGTTGGGTTCAAGGCGAACGCAGCCGTGGGGACGAGGGAAGAAGATGACCGGTATCAGTACTTCTGGCCTCTTCCGACGTCTGGTGGAGGAATGGGAGGAGGAGGAGGACGAGGAACAGGAGGAGGAGGGAGGGGAGGAGGAGGAGGAGGAGGAGGAGGAGGAGGAGGAAGAGGAGGAGTAGGAGGAGGAGAAATATCTGAGGAGGAGGATTTGTCCAGTGCGCCGCGCGTGATCAAACTCCACGAGCGCCCGGCCGAGGGAGGGGCGCTGGGGACTGCGCCCGCGGGTTTGCACCATAATGCCACGCGCAAATCGTCTGACGAGGTCTGGGAGTCGCTCTGCACGCACATGAATTCCTCCACCTGCCGACCACAAATGCTAAAAGATATCGCGCCGACCTTCTTCACGATAGCTGGATGAAGCCCTGCCTGCGGAGTACAACCAACCGGAAGGCCCAAGCGAGGCCAGCTGCCTCTCCGTGTATGTGTGGATGCCCCCTTGTACTCCAAGTCGCTGCCGTGGGAATCGCTGCCCAGGGAGTCGCCGTCCGCCACTGAGCCAGCAAGCTTCGGGGTGCCGCCCTCGCAGACGTGAAAGTCGCAAGGTGAGGCAACCTTCGCCTCATCCTGGTCGAGGTTGGGCTCGCTGTAATTCTCCTCGAGCCCGCCGAAAGCGGGGCGGCGCGCAGAGGAAATCGCTGTCGGGCTCGAAGTGGCCCTCGGAGAGGTTGGGTCTGAAATTGCCCTCGGGTATCATATCTTGGGCAAGGCGCCCTCGGAGATGTCGGCAATGATGGGCAAAAGGCCCTCGGGGATGTCGAACTTGTCGGCCTTGGTGTACCTAGAGTCAGACTCCGTGAAGTCCGCGGTGTCGGCTGCCGGTTGGAGTCCTTTGCAAGCGTGCACGGAAACATTGCATGGTAAAAAGTCTCGGCTTCAACGTTGTCGCCAACACCAGTATCTTTGACGATCGCAGGACGCCTTGTTTCTCCCCAACTGTAAGACCGAAGATGCGTCAGACGTGGAGCTCAACGAAGCCGTGCCGGAAGTAGTGGGTTCATGTCCTTCTTCATATGCAAGGGCAGCGGCAGCGGCTGCAGCGCCACCAAAGTCCCGCGATCCTCATGAGGACCGCCGTGCCCGTAGATGGAGAAGCCTCCGCCGGAGCCGGCGAACGCGTCGACCATGTTGAGTTCTGACCGCCTCGAAGAGCTTGCGAAGACGACGGGCACGACTGAGAGGAAGTCTCGGGGAGGCCGTTCATGTAGAGCGCCTTGAGCATCTAGTACTTCAATATCCTCTTGTTCCTCTTGGCAGTGGGCGTGTGACTTTCAAGCCGTTTTCCTCTTTATTATGCTTCTTCTTCTTCTTCCTCTAAGTTGTCGTCTTCTTCTTCTTCTCGCTGCTCTGGTCCAGCGTCACTAGATACTAGGCTGGGCGTATTTGTGTGCCAGCGCTTCAGCTGCTTGACGGGCTGCAGCGGCGGTGACGGTGGCGCCGGGATCGTGCACTTGATCGGCTCCTTGTGGTGAGCACCAGGGTGTCTGCATCCAGCGTCGCCATCTTGCTGTGCCCCTTGAACGTGACCAGTGGCTCGTCCCAGTTGCCCAACGGAGACGAAGGAGGAGGCCCCAGCGTCCTACTGTGACGTCGACAGTGCGCCAGCCGCCACGACGGGCAAAGTCGGAGATGCGCGCCCCCAGGTCGCCGCAGACGGGCGGGTGGCTGCTCGCATCGTACACACAGGCCACATCCTAGAAACAAAATCGAGAACCCGGGAAAGTGTCGGACGAGGGTCGACACGGTGTCGGACGAGTGTCTCCCAGGGCCCGACACGTGAAAACCCTAGAGTTTTGGTACTTTTTCAGGTTCTCGGAATTCTGTCTGGTACTCAAGGCTAGAAGTAGGTAGGAATATCACAACACTGGTGGAGGAGGATCTCGAAGAAGCACTGAGCCTCGGAGAGACGAAGGAAGAGCGTCGTCTCAAGCCGCAGACGCCTGACGTGGGCGGCGCTCAGCCCCGAGGAGGCCACTATGCGCGCGGGGGGGCGGCCCTGGCGCACGGCGGCCCTGGCTCGAGGAGGAGGAGAAGGAGGAGGAGGATACTTAGGATGAGGAGGAGGAGGATACTTAGGATGAGGAGGAGGAGGAGGAGGAGGAGGAGGAGGAGGAGGCGGCAAAATCACGAGGACGCGGAGGACGAGGGGAGGCGAGCACGTGAGCTCGATGGCGCGCGCGGGGAGCGGCAGCGCGGCCCCCACGGCGCCGGCGAGCGCGGCGGTGCCGACGGCGGCGCCCGGGGCCTCGTCGAACGGCCGCGAACGACTAAGTCGACGACGACGACGCCGACGTCGACGACGACGTCGACGACGCTGGCGACGAGCCCGACGACGTCGACGACGTCGATGCTGACGACGCCGACGTCAACGAAGACGCCGACATCGACGATGACGACAACGCATCGTCGGGCGCAGGGATCTGGACGTGATTTCCGACGATGTGATGTTTTCAGGCCCAGCGTGTTTCCTGAATCTCTGCCTCCTGTGTTCGCTAGCGGGCCCTGGGGCACTATCGAATCTACGGGTCAGGTCAAAAAAGAATCCGGGACGAACAAAAACACACCTTGGGGAGGGGTCGGGTTCCCTGGGTCCGCGCATGGAAAAAAACATCTTCGGATGTCTGAAATGACGTCTCCACCGGAGGCAGACCAGTGTCCACCCGTGGCGACGATGAGCCGCCCAGATCCCAATCAAAAATCAAATTTTGCCCGAATACCTCCGTCCTTAAAACAATCAAGGGGGGATGGAGAGGTAATTACCGATACTAACCAAAACTCGTTCCACTACTCACAGGGTAACGACTCGCAAATGGCCTCGATCCGCCGCGGGGATTTACGATGCATATATATATATATATATATATATATATATATATATATATATATATATTACATCGAGGCAGACAGATATTGTTCGGACATTTGGGAGTTGGCATTTTGCGAGTACTGGAGCGCGCTCGGTGAGAAGCCGCTACTCCCCGAACCTCTCCCATTGCGTATTCGGACAAGAACTTCGACACGAATCTAGCCGTGGCGACGAGGGCTCTCCAATCGAGTGACATCACCATGCCTAAAATCCACCGACCCTGTCGGCGTGTGTGAGGGGCTTGGCTGTTCGAGTCGTCGTCTCCGTCAGTCGTCGTCTCCGTCGTCCGCTTTCCTTGCAACCTCCTCCTCAAGCTTGTCAGCGAGAGGAACATCGAGTCGTCGTCTCCGTCAGTCGTCGTCACCGTCGTCCGCTGTCCTTGCAACCTCCTCCTCAAGCTTGTCAGCGAGAGGAACATCTAGCAATGTCGCAATCGAGTCGAAAAGAAGCCCCTTCCCGTTGATCCCTTCCCCGCGCTGGGGGGGGGTCCTTAGGGGGGTCCCGGGGGGGTCGCCACCCAGACGGAAAATACCAGGATTGTCTCCCCGAACACACCTCGATCGTATAACTCGGTCCGACTGTAGATCCGACGTGGCAGCTGCTTGACGTCTGCCCCCGGGGCTGGACCTACTCCGTTTCCCGTGGACGAGAAGCGGCCCCTGGAGACTAAAAGCAACAACGAACCAACAGGGGGCGGCGGCGGCAGCTGGCGGCGGTGACCGACGACGACCACGACGCCGACGCCGACGCCGACGCCGCCGCCGCCGACGCCGAGCCTCGTAATACGGACGTTCGAACAAAACGTACCTTCAAAACAAACACGGATTCATGCACGTATACGTCCTTCTCTCGCTGACGAAAGGCGGCGGCGGCGACAAACTCCCCGCGACCCCCTCCTCGCAGGCGTGCTCGCGTCGAGAAGAAAGATCACGACGGCGGGCTTTCTTACAGTTTTCGCCCTCTGGGGGCCCTCGCCGGGCCCCATGACCGTTACAAGACGACCCGGGATGAGAAGCCGGTCGCAGGGGAAAGGTCGGGGCGTCTGGGGACCGCGGATTGCAAAAAGTATGGCATCGCATGCCTGGGCTCCCACGTTGCAGCTGCTTCGTGACGCCCAGCGACACTCTCCTCCGACGAGAAGCCACATCCGAACCGCCAGCCCCTGTAGGCCTGCAGGTCAGATTTCAGAAACGCGGGCTGGGGCTCCAACGGGAGTGTCCGATACCCCCTCATGTCGATTGGACCCGCAGAGGTAGGTTTCGCAATTGGTTGTACAGTCGGACCCAGGCCAAAGACAATTTTTCCTCACGCCAGGAACAGAGACGTCGTTTGTGCACACGTGCCGCATTGCCCTCACCCCGCACGCACGTCATCATTAGAAATTAGAAGGTTGCCTCTGCAGTCGAGAAGGCGCCTGTATATTCATGACTCCGAGCCGCAGTCTGTAGAAGGGTTGCACGGTGAACGCACGCCTTCGAAGGCATCGATGCCTCGGTGTGGTCATCCTCTCCTAGCAAGCCTCCTACGGCAAACCCACCGCGACCAAGATGCTTGACGTAGAAGTTCAAGTACAAGACGCCCTGATCAGTGCGCCCATGGGCGACTTTCAGTTCTACACCCCCGAACTTCAACCACTGTGGATGCTCGTCGCGCGCACCCTCAGCTGTGAAACGGAGACCGTCGGTTCCCTTCGGCTTCACCCACGCGCCCGTGATATTCAACTCGTGGAAATACATGTCTGCGCACTGCCCTCCAAATTGACGCGCCTCAACCTCCGCGCGAAGCATTGCATTGGAACGCCTTCCACGGGGGATGTTAATCAGAACCTGCTTTCCTGGTTTCATCAAGTCGAACCGCTGACCAAGAACGTTCTGAAGGTGGGGGTCGCCAGTGGCAGCCACGCCTACGCCAGCTCCACCAGCCATGGGAGCTCCAAGAAGAAACGTCGGATGTGGCGTCGGCCAGCCCGGAGGATACGTCGGGCTGGGGGTCGGGCTGGGCGTCGGGAGCGGCGTCGGGAAAGCTGTCGGGAACGGCGTCGGGAAGGGCGTCGGGAAGGGCGTCGGGAAGGGCGTCGGGAAAGCCGTCGGGTAGGGCGTCGGGAAAAACGTCGGGAAAGACGTCGGGTAGGGCGTCGGGAAGCGTCGGGTAGGGCGTAGGGTTCGGCGTCGGGTTCGGCGTCGGGTAGGGCGTCGGGTAAAGCGTAGGGTAGGGCGTAGGGTTCTGCGTCGGGTAGGGCGTCGGGTAGGGTGTAGGGTAAGGCGTCGGGTAAGGCGTCGGGTAGGGCGTCGGGTAGGGCGTCGGGTTCGGCGTCGCGGTGGTCACACTCAGGGTCGCGCCAGAATCGACGTAAAGACAGTGCCCGCCTCCATACCCAACGTTGTATGAGAGCACTATGTGACTGCCAGCTGTCGCGGGCGCGGGCAATGTCCAGGTGAACGTGAACCGCGATCTGGAACGGGGTGCCACACCATGGTTGTACGACTCCGACCCCACCACAACACCGATATAGCCTTTGGAATTACCGAATCCCTGGTCCCTCCAATAGCCACTAAGACTGGTCGTCGTGATTTGCTCACTAATTGTCGCCGAGGTCCACCAACTATTCCAACCGCAAGCGCAACAATGGCTGACTCCTCCAAGGTTGTAAGATAGAGAACCAGCTGAACGCTGCGCGGGCATCCCGCTCACTTCCTGCACTTCATGCACTTCCTTCATACTGTCAATAGTGCGCGAGGCGTTGTACGGGTCGATGTCGCGATGGATGCCCTCGCTCACTATCATGGACGTCGCGTTCGATACGCCCTGGACCAGTAGCGCTACGTACATGATCCATGGTGCACTCCTGGCCGCCGCCATCCCAACTGCCTGAGGTCCGAGTGAGAAGCAACTACGCAGGTCCAGTCTCAAACGGTGGTGTGTAGATGCACGTGAAGAGCGACAGTAATGCGCCGAAGTCAAGCCAAAAGCTACGGAAGGCCACAAAACATCCTTCAAGACCATGAGGCCCTCCGCCGGCCAAAACAAACAGAACACCCAAGGGTACCCTCCCCCAGGATGCGCAAGAACATCCAACAGACGATACGTTTTCCCCCCCTGGAGGCCCTGGGGCTTCAGGAAGTACAAAGGCAGGCCAAGACTGCCCCAAGAGGCCGCCCAAGACGGCTCCAAGAGCTGCCCAGACGGAACCCGAGCGGACATTTCGAGCCCTCGGCCCCAAGAGGCTCCCAGCTGGCCCCTGGACGTTGCCCAGACGCCCAAAGAGGCCCACAAGAGGTCCCCAGGAAGCCCGAAGAGGCCCCAAAGGGGCTCCCAAGAGACCACCAAGAGGCTCCAAATAAGCCCAACAATCTCTCCTCAGAGGCCCCCGAGAGACTTCCGAAGAGACCCTAAGATCCATCCCTGGCCGACGTCAGCGTCGTCGTGATTGCCGCCGCCGCCGCCGCCGTTGTCGCCGTCGCCGTCGCCGTCGCCGTCGCCGTCGTCGTCGTCGCCGTCGTCGTCGTCGTCGTCGTCGTCGCCGTCGCCGCCGTCGCCGTCGTCGCCGTCGCCGTCGCCGTCGTCGTCGTCGTCGTCGTCGCCGTCGTCGCCGTCGCCGTCATCGCCGTCGCCGTCGCCGTCGTCGCCGTCGCCGTCGTCGTCGTCGTCGTCGCCGTCGTCGTCGTCGTCGTCGCCGTCGCGTCGTCGCCGTCCGCCGTCGTCGTCGTCGTCGTCGTCGCCGTCGTCGTCGTCGTCGTCCGTCGTCCGTCGTCGTCGTCGTCGTCGTCGTCGCCGTCGTCGTCGTCGTCGTCGCCGTCGTCGTCGTCGTCGTCGTCGTCGTCGTCGTCGTCGTCGTCGTCGTCGTCGTCGTCGTCGTCGTCGTCGTCGTCGTCGTCGTCGTCGTCGTCGTCGTCGTCGTCGTCGTCGTCGTCGTTTGTCTTTGCGGGGCCATAAAGGCTGGGTAGCTCCAGGAGGGGCCGCTTCGGGCCACCCTCCACCAGAGGAGGGGCCGCCTCGGGCCACCTCCGCACCTCCAGGGAGCCCCAGGAGCAGGGGAAGAGCCCCGAAAAACCCTGGGCCCCACGGGTGCCAGGCGCGAAGCGCCGCGATTGCAAGCTCCCGTACACATTCAAATACAAGAAATGCGAATGCACGGAGCAAACGGAATTAGCGTCCGCACGCAAGGCTAACCGTCCTGCACCTGGGCCTCGGCAAGGACGAGGAGCCTCTCGAGCGCGAGCGAGGGCCCGTGAGCAGCACAGGCGATCGATACTACCGAGAGGTCGTCCAAAAAGGCCCAGAGACCGCGGACGGGCTCGTCCACGCCGCCAGTCCCGCCTCCGCGCGGGGGGGCCTCCTCCGACTCCTCCTCGAAGGCCGTGCCGATGACGACGGGACGCAGGTCGAAGCGGACGCGGCGGGCGCGCCGCCCCGTGCTTGCACCTCGCTCCCTGCGGACGCGGCTGCCCTCGAAACCAGCGCCAGGACCAGTACCGCCAGCCACAGGAGCCGCGAGGGCCCCGCTGCCTCCCGAGAGGAGCGCCGCAGGGTGAGCGCGCAGGTACGCCAGAACCGCAGTGCTGGCCTGTGGCGCCGCCTCCGACACCGAGCAGGCCGTATCCACTTCAGCGTCGGCAGCACCCACCTCCTGGTAGTCGAACTCGGCCGAGTCGGCCGCACTGCCCACGGGGCTGGAGACGGCCTCAACGCGACCACCACCCGAGCCCGCGGAGCCTGTCGGCAGAGGCTCTCCAGCACCAGCAGCAGCGTCAGCACGCGCGCGAAGACCAGCCGAGGCGAAGACCACGGCGCCACACGTGCAGCGGATGCACACGGGGGGCAGCGGCACCCAAGGCCCAACGCGCTGGACCGTGAGGAAGGCGTCCCGCGCCCGCGGCGGCCGCGCCTCCGCGCGTGCAGCACCGCTCGCAGTCCTGCTCTCCCATCCGGCGCCGTCCAGCTGCTCCCAGACTCCCGGGGGGTGCCGCGGCCAGAACGGGGCAGCCTGCTCGCGAAGCACGGCCGGGTTGCCCGCCACGGCGCACAGCTTCTGCCCAAGCACCTTCGCGCCACCGACGCCCTGCAGACGAGCTTCGAGACGCGCACTCCTCTGCATCTGCCGAAGGCGCGCGGGCCGCGCCTCTGCCACGCTCTCGCCCTCGGCGTCGGCGTGCAGCGCGACGTTGCGCCTGAGCACGTCCTCGGGCGAGGGCGTCTCGCCCTTCAGGAGTGCGCGCAAGGCAGGAATCAGCGCCACCACGCGGTCCGCCAGCTCCGCGTCCCCGATGAGATCCTCGAAGCCGTCCAGGAGCTGCCGAAGGGTGCGCCTCAGGGAGTCGGCATCCTCGCGGGCCTCCGCGTGCTGCTTGACCAACTTCTGCACCAGACGGTCTGCCGAGGCACGGGCACCAGCCGCGCCCCGCAGAACCTCCCGCGCCATCGCCTGCCCAAGCACGCTTGAACCAAGCAGGCTTGAGCCAAAATGGCTACGGACCGCCGTCGTCGTCGTCGTCGTCGCCGTCGTCGTCGTCGTCGCCGTCGTCGTCGTCGTCGTCGTCGTCGTCGCCGTCGCCGTCGTCGTCGTCGCCGTCGTCGCCGTCGTCGTCGCCGTCGCCGGCGTCGTCGTCGTCGTCGCCGTCGCCGTCGTCGTCGTCGTCGTCGCCGTCGTCGTCGTCGTCGTCGTCGTCGTCGTCGTCGCCCTGTCGTCGCCCTTCAGGTCGGCGGCACCGGCCGTAAGGCCTTCGCAACATCAAACTTTTGGAGCTCCGCGCGGGTGTCTCGGATTGGCACTGGGCCCCCCTCCCTGGCGCGCCTCTGGCGCCAAGGGCGGCACTGGAGGCACCGCCGCGGGGGCCCAGCGCCGATCAAAAGAATCCGCGCGAAACTCGGTATTTGGGAAACCAACAGATACCGATACCGCTACTGTCTGGACCCCAACTTCGGGACAAATCCAGCCGCGGCGACGGGGGCCGACCAGCAGGCCCAACAAGAAGGCGAAGCGGCGGAAGGGTGACTAGAAGAAACACCAAACGCCACAAACATCAACTTTTGGCGCTCCGTGCGGATTTCTTGGATCCGCGCTGGGCCCCCCTCCTTGGCGCGCGGAGCGCGCCAAGGGCGGCGCAGGAGGCGCCACGGTGGGGGGGCCAGCGCGGATCCGAGAAATCTGCGTGGAGCGCCAAACGTTTGTTATTCGAGATTGGGCCTCCCAACAGGCCCAACAAAAAGGCGAAGCAACAGAAAGGTAGCGGTATCGGCACCTATTCCTCTCGACGAGCGCTTTCAACGACTTGCAAGTGTAACTACTCGCAAATGGCCTGGATCTACCATGGGGAATCTGCTTTTCATTACATCCAGGACGACATGTGTGGTTCCTGAAGTCTGCGAGTAGGCACTTTGCGAATAAAAGATCGCGCTCGGTGGTCCTCCTCCGACCGCCGCCAGAGCTCTGGGGCCTCGCTGGCACGGGGCGGGGCGACGAAGGCGGGCGCGGCGAGGCGGTGCAGCGCGACCGCCGCGAGGGCCAGCAAGGCCAGGCGGGCGGCGCGGGCGCTCCTGCGGGACAGCCCGCGGAGGCGCGCGTTGGCCCCATCCTCCTCGCCCTGCCGCCACCCCTTCCCCCTTCCTCTTCCCTCCTCCTCCCACCTCCTCCTCCTCCTCCTCCTCCTCCTCCTCCTCCTCCTCCACCCCTCTTCCCTATACATAACTCCTCCCTGTCCACCCCGAAGCCAGTTTTTACGACGGGCCGGGCGTTTCACCTGAGACTTCCTCACCACTCATGACACTGAAGCTTAACAAGTGACACTAGTTTCGCAGATGGAGGGATTGAGGGCGGTTGGTTTTCAACATGTGGCTCTCGCCTTAGCGCCGCGCTTTTTCTTCAAAATTTGCAAGAGCTTCATGGATTGAAGGCGGGTGGTTTTCAAAATGTGGTTCTCGCCTGAGCGCCGCGCACATTCGTTTCAAACATTTGTTAAAGTTTCGCGGGTTGGCGGGTGGCTTTCAAAATGTGGCTCTCGCCTTACCGCCGCGCACATTTGCATTCAACATTTGCACGATTTTCACGCATTGAAGCGGTTGGGTTTCAAAATGTGGCTCTCGTCTTAGCGCCGCGCACATTCGTTTTCAACATGTGCAAGAGTTTCACGGATTCCCATGGTCAACGCACCAGAAAATTGCGTTGTGTAAGGATTCAGGATTATGCGGGCGCAACACCGATGATGTTTCGCTGTGTCGAAGTCCCCCAAATGGCGTTTTGGCACGATTTGGGATCGTCAAGACGCAGCAGTCGGGTTGATACGTGGCGTTGACATCCCGAAAACAATGTGTTGGCACGCGTCAAGATCTTCAGACTGTCGTCTTCCAACGAGGCAGTTCCCTCAATGGAAATGAGCCTTTGTAGGGGCCTATGAAAAAGGAGCTTGGAGGGAGGGTTAATTCCAACATTGGTGATGACCCTTGGGTTTCCAATGGTCCTCCCCCTCCTCCAACTCCAACTCCTCCTCCTACCCCTCCTTCTCCTCATGCTTCTCCTCCTCCTCCTCCTCCTCCTCCTCCTCCTGGCGTCTCGTCATCACTGCTCCTCCGCTCATTCCTTCCTGCTCCTTGGCCTCCTCCTCCGTCGCAGCCCCTGCCCGCGAAGCCAACCGACGCTGGGGAGGACCTCGCCTCTCGCCTCTCCCGGGCCTACTCGGAGTCGACCCGCCCGAGCTCTCCTGGCCACGGCGTCGAGGTATTTCGGGGGGGGGATATCAGTCAGGCTGGCGGGGTGAGAAGACCCACGCGTCTGCTCGTCCCTCTCGGCCTGACGCCCGCTTGGCGCTGTGGCGACCCACCGACCCTCCTCCTCGACCCCCTGCTCTACCCGCCTCGGTCTGCCCCCCGCCCACTGCAATCCCTGTCACCATCGCGCGCTCTCCTGCCGCACGGCTGGGGGGGATTCAGAGGATGGGCTCGGTGGTCCGTATGACGTGTTGGAGGGGGGGAAGCTTCGACCACCGAAACTCGGAGTTCCCACTGGCGGTCCAGAACAAAGATGCGGGAGGAGGAGGACGAGCAGGATCCGCCGATGTCTCAGCCCGAGGATGTGACCTGCGAAGCAAAAAATGTGGTGCAATGTTAACCGACTCTGAAGTCGATGTGAAAGGGAACGGCTTGGTGTGAAAGGAACTGGTTAAGTATGGCTATCCTTTACTGGGTCCCTCTCACTCTCCTGTTCCTCCCTCCTCCTCATCATCCGTTCCTCGCCCTCATACATGATCCCAGTTCGAGGGTTCACGGCCCCCTCCCAAAAATGGGGTGGGCCCGAGGGTTCCACAGCGCCCTTCCCAGATGGGATGGTGATGGGGGGCGACGATGACGACGACGCCGACGACGGAAGAAGCCGACGCCAACAGAAACAAATGACGACGAGGACGACGCCGACGACGACGCCGACACCGCCGACGCCGACGACGGACGCCGTCGCAGACGCCGAAGCAGACGCCGCCGACGCCGCCGACACCGCCGACGACGGAAGACGCCGACGCCAACGGAAGCAGACGACGACGAGGACGACGCCGACGACGCCGCTGACGAAGCCGACGCCGCCGACGCCGACGACGGAAGACGCCGACGCCAACGGAAGACGCCGACGCCAACGGAAGCAGATGACGACGAGGACGACGCCGACGACGACGCCGACGCCGACGGCGACGCCGACGCCGAACGCCGCCGACGCCGCCGACGCCGACGACGGACGCCGACGCAGACGCCGACGCAGACACCACCGACGAAGCCGCAGCTTACGACGGAAGAAGCCGACGCCGACGGAAACAGACGACAACGAAGACGCCGACGACGACGCCGACGACGACGCCGACGCCGCAGACGCCGACACCGAAAGCCGCCATCGCCGCCGACGCCACCGACGCCCACGCAGACGCCGACGAAAACACCGCCGACGCCGACGCCGACGCCGACGCTGGAAGAAGCCGACGCCGACGGAAGCAAGCGACGACGACGACGACGCCGGCGCCGACGCCGACGCCGAACGCCGACGACGGACGCCGACGCAGACGCCGCCGAAACGGACGAAACCGACGCCGCCGACGCCGACGACAGACGCCGACGCAGACGCCGATGCCGCCGACGAAGCCAACGCCACGGACGCCGACGACAATGGAAACCGATGCCGACGGAAGCAGCCGACGACGACGACGCCGACGACAACGACGACGGCGACGACAATGACGCCGACGCCGACGCCGACGCCGACGCCGAACGCCACCGACGCCGCCGATGCCGCCGACGCCGCCGACGCCGACGACGGACGCCGACGCAGACGCCGACGCAAAGCCGACGCAGACGCCGCCGACGAAGCAGGCGCCGCCGACGCCGACGACGGAACACACCGACGCCGACGGAAGCAGACGACGACGACGCCGACGTCGACGTCGACGAGTACGACGGCGACGCCGACGACGACGCCGAAGCCGACGACGACGCCGAACGCCGCTGACGCCGCCGACGCCGCTGACGCCGCCGACGCCGACGGACGCCGACGACGACGCCGACGCAGACGCCGCCGACGAAGACGACACCGCCGACGCCGACGACGCCGGCGCCGACGCCGACGCCGACGCGGACGCGCCGACGCGGACGCGGACGCGCCGACGCCGACACCGACGCCGACGCCGACGCCGAACGCCGCCGACGCCGCCGACGCCGCCGACGCCGACGACGGACGCCGACGCAGACGCAGACGCAGACGCCGCCGACGAAGCCGGTGTCCACGACGCCGCCGACGCCGACGACGGAAAAAGCCGACGCCGACGGAAGCAGGCGACGACGACGACGACGACGACGAGGACGAGGACGAGGACGACGACGACGACGACGACGACGACGACGACTCCGACGACGACGACGCCGCCGACGCCGACGCCGAACGCCGCAGAACGCCGCCGACGCCTCTGTCGGCGACGACGGACACCGACGCAGAAGCCGACGCAGGCGCCGCCGACGAAGCCGACGCCGCCGACGGAAAAACGACGACGACGACGACGCCGACGCCGACGCCGACGCCGAACGCCGCCGACGCCGCCGCCGCCGACGCCGACGCCGACGCCGACGCCGACGCCGAACGCCGCCGACGCCGCCGACGCCGCTGACGCCGACGACGCCGACGACGCCGACGACGGACGCCGAAGCAGACGCCGACGCAAACGAAGCCGACGAAGCCGACGCCGCCGACGGACGAAGCCGACGCCGACGGAAGCAGACGACTACGACGACGCCGATGGCGACGACGACGGCGACGCCGATGCCAACGCCGACGCCGACGCCGAACGCCGCCGACGCCGCCGACGCCGCCAACGCCGCCGCCGCCGCCGACGGACGCCGACGAATACGCCGACGCAAACGCCGCCGACGAAGCCGACACCGCCTACGCCGACGATTGAAGAAGCCGACGCCGACGGAAGCAGAAGACGACGAAAACGACGACGCCGATGCCGACGACGCAGACGCCGACGCCGATGCCGACGACGACGCCAAACGCCGCGGACGCCGCCGACGCCGACGACGCCGCCGACGACAAACGCCGACGTAGATGCCGACGCAGACGCCGCCGACGACGCCGACGCCGCCGACGGAAAAAGCCGACGCCGACGACGAAAACGACACCGACGACGACGACGCCGCGGCCGCGGCCGCGGCCGTACGCCGCCGACGCCGCTGACGACGGAAGACGCCGACGACGGACGCCGACGCAAACGCCGCCGACGCCGCCGACGCCGGACGCCGCCGACGCCGACGACGGAAAAAGCCAATGCCGACGGAAACAGACGACGACGCCGACGACGTCGACGACGACGACGACGCCGACGCAGACGCCGACGCCGACGCCGAACGCCGCCGACGCAGCCGACGCCGACGACGGACGCCGACGCAGACGCCGACGGAAGCAGACGCCGCCGACAAAGCCGACGCCGACGACGGAAGAAACCGACGCCGACGGAAGCAGACGACGACGCCGACGACGCCGGCGCCGACGCCCGACGCCGCCGACGCCGCCGACGACGGATGCCGACGCAGACGCCGACGCAAACGCCGCCGACGAAACCGACGCCGCCGACGCCGCAGACGCGGAAGCCGAAGACGCCGACGACGCCGACGCCGCCGACACCGACGACGGCAAAAGCCGACGCCGACGGAAACATACTTTTTTCCATCGACTGTGGGCAAGACAGAAATCCACCTTGCACTCGTCTGTGAACCTTATGTGGGCGAACTGCATTGAAAAGGTTGCCGTCGCAAGGCACGGTTGCCCTTGCTCCCCTATCTGGGGCGCGCCGCGCGGGTGCACGGGGCTACGACGAGCGGCAAACCTGCTGCGTGCTCAACCTCGGCTGATTCAAAGAGGGCCTAGAAACTGCATGGCTTCGTTTTCCTGGGCGTCCAGGTCTGCGTGATCGAGCTCGGCCACCGCATTTGATATTTCATCTGGGCTTTTTTGGCGCGCTCTGCTTGGCGCGGCTGCGGCTGCGTCAGCTTCAAGCTGGCTGGCGATCGGGCGTGAGCGACGCAATCGATGCTGTGTGTTGGTGCTGGCTGGCTCTGAGCAAGCACGAAAAGGTGGCCTCAGAAAAAAAAGAAACTCGGATGTCTGCGGACCTCCGCTCCTGAGTGCACTGTGCAACTGGAAGCGCTCGGCGGGAGAGATTGGCCGCGCACGAAAACAACAGGGCGGCGCTCACTCACTTCTGCTGGAGTGTCTCTACCCACGTCCCTAGTTCCTCCTCGAGCCAGCCTGGCGGGGCGACGCCTGCCATCACCTCGCCCACGCCCTCGGAGCGGAACGAAGCCAGAATATCCTGGCGGAGGCTAGAATTGTTCATCGAGAGCTGGAGTTTGACGAATTCCTTGTCGTGGCAAGACTCCACTCGGATGACTATGCTGTCTTCGATGTCGCCCTTCGTGATCGTCGCCGTGTCTTCGGCCTCCGCTGGCTGGACCTTCTCGAACCACGCGTTGAGAGTGGCTCGGAGCGCTCCACCCTCGCCCGCGGCTGCCAGGGTCTCGATCATGACGACTGCGAGCGAAGCCGTCGGGGGGCCGAACGTAGCGAGATTGGTCTTGCCTGTCTGGTGCAGCGAATCGATCTCGTTCTTGTGCTCCTCGAGCTCGTCCGCGAGGTTGGTGACCACTGCGTGCTCCACTGGGAGATGAATCGTGTCGACGACGACGACGCCAACGACGACGCCGACGCCGAAGCCGACGCCGACGCCGAACGCCGCCGACGCCGCCGACGCCACCTACGGCCGACGACGCAGACGCCGACGCAGACGCCGACGCAGACGCCAACGCAGACGCCGACGCAGACGCCGCCGACGCCGCCGACGAAGCCGACGCCGCCGACGCCGACGACGGAAGAAGCCGACGCCGACGGAAGCAGACAACGACGACGACGACGCCGACGACAACGACGACGACGCCGACGCCGACGCCGACGCCCATGCCGACGCCGACGCCGAACGCCGCCGACGAAGCCGATGCCGACGGAAGCAGACGACGACGACGACGCCGACGACAACGACGACGGCGACGACAATGACGCCGACGCCGACGCCGAACACCTCCGACGCCACCGACGCCGCCGACGCCGCCGACGCCGACGACGGACGCCGACGCAGACGCCGACGCAGACGCCGCCGACGAAGCTGGCGTCGCCGACGACGACGACGACGACGGAAGAAACCGACGCCGACGGAAGCAAACGACGACGACGACGCCGACGTCGACGACGACGAGTACGACGCCGACGCCGACGACGACGCCGAAGCCGACGCCGACGCCGAAAGCCGCCGACGCCGCCGACGCCACCGACGGCCGACGACGCAGACGCCGACGCAGATGCCGACGGCAGCAGACGACGACGACGACGACGCCGACGATGCCGACGACGACGACGCCGACGCCGACGCCGACGCCGACGCCGACGCCGAACGCCGCCGACGCCGCCGACGCCGACGACCCCGACGACGCCGACGACGGTCGCCGACGCAGACGCAGACGCAGACGCAGACGCCGCCGACGAAGCCGACGCCGACGACGGAAGAAGCCGACGCCGACGGAAGCAGACGACGACGACGACGCCGACGACGACGACCCACTCACAGGGGGAGGGGTGGGGGCACCGGCACCCTCTCCACAACGCCACGACCACAGGGCCACGACCACAGGGAGGGGAAGTGATTCCATTCGCGGAGCCTCCGAGGGGAGCACGGGCGTACACATCCAGCAAAGGAGGAGGAGGAGGAGAAGCAGGAGGAGGAGGAGGAGGAAGAGGAGGAGAAGGGGGATCTCGATCTCATACGCACCGGGGGGGGGGGGCAACCCCAGGCTGCCCCCCCCCGATCGAGCCGCCCACCCCCCCTGTGTTCGTGGCCCTGAGCTCGTGGCGTGGGGGAGGGCGCCAGTGACCCCCCTCCCCCTGTGGTTAACGGGTGGTTCGCCGTTGTGGTCGTTGTGGTGGTCGTCGTCGTAGTCCGTCGGCGTTGGCGTCGGCGTCGGCGTATTCGCCGTCGGCGCCGTCGTCGGCGTCGTGGTCGTGTTCGTCGGCGTCGGCGCCTCCGGTGAGACCCGAAACCCAGAACCCTCAATGAGGTGTTTCTTAAAAATCCTGGGGGGACCGGAGGAACTACCGATAGACTTACGACAACACACATGAACAAAAACCCCAACGGGGCTTTGTTCGGTGGTTCCTCGGCTGGCCTCGAACCGACACCCCAGAAAGCACCAGGAAAAGCATCGAACACCTGGCGAGTGGGGGGCGTTTTAGGGCTTCTCCTGGAGCCCAGGGGGGAACTTCGGGGGTTTTGGGTGGGTGAGTGGGTTTCCAGGGCCCCACAATGAAACAACATTTACTTGAAACGAACAAAAAAACATGATAAAAACGCACAAATCACTTCTGACAGAGCCCAAAACAAAACACAGACTGGGGGGGGGTCCTTGAAGGGAAACAGGGAGACATAAAATCCCCCCTCCCTCCCCGAGCCGACCCTGCTGCTACCGCCCCCATGCAGTCCTGCGCGGCGCCATGGCGCGGGGCATGCCCAACCCGAGGGTCCCCTCGAGACAGAGAGGCCTGCCGCGACGACCTCTCCTCCTCCTCCTCCTCCTCCCCCTCCTCCTCCTCCTCCTCCTCCTCCTCCTCCTCCTCCTCCCCCTCCTCCTCCTCCTCCTCCTCCTCCTCCTCCTCCTCCTCCTCCTGCTCCTCCTCCTGCTCCTCCTCCTGCTCCTCCTCGGTCGGCCATAAGGGAATGAGTCTGAATCCCAAACGAAGCTAGATGAGAGCAGCGATGGCAGAGAGAAAAGCGGCGAGGCAGCGATCGCGGCAGCGGGCAGGCCTCTCGGGTGAAACTAAAGTCCCCCCCCCCCATATGTCCAAAGCTCGATCCCACCACCATATCAAGGCCACTTTAAATGCCCCGATCCTGACGTGGGCAGGTAGAACATCCCAGGCGTACGGCAGCTTAGTGAGTAACGCCGCTGGGGGAGGGCGCCACCATCAAGTAGTCAGGGACGGGCTGGCCATTCATCAGGTTACTGATCCCCCCATAGAGGATCGAAAAAAATACCTTCACCTGATTACTGCGAGTTAGAGTGCCGCGCACACCGCCAGCAAAACGTGACAAACCTGGACAGCGAGTTAAGGTGCCGCGCACACCCCAGGCGTCAGAAAAAAACAGTCAAACACATACCTTCCCCGAGGGTACTGCGAGAGTTAGCGGTGCCGCGCACACCATGTGCTTGTCAGGAGGGAGATGGTGGTGTCACTTGGGCGAAATCACGACCACGCCTGAAATCATAGAAAGGATCCAGAGGCACAAAGAAGGGCTCAAACTCCTCCCCGAGGTCCCAAGGCGGCGGTCCAGGATCGGGCCCGAACTGGTCCTGGATAGCGACAAAAACGCTCATGGCCATCAAACGGCACATCTCCGAGGGATATGTTTTGGCCCGCGCAGTCTGCCAAGCCCCCATAGAATCTCGGCCCTGGAAGACCTGGACGTGCGCATTGTGTTGGCATCTCCCCTGGTGCGGCAGCTCACTAATCATCTGATTGAGCCTGGGGACATGAACACCCAACAGGGCCGTAGGTTTCTTCGCACAAAGCCCAAACATGCACTGGTCAATCCTGCGTAGTTTGACCCCCATCTGTCGGGCCAGCTTGGAAAGGACGGGGAGATGCCAACTGCTGGGAACATTGGGACGATGCTCGGCCGGGGCGGGGTGCTCCATGATCGCTGGTAGTCCAAGCTTCCAAGCGGAAATCAGAAATTCAATGGTGGTTCTTAGCAAGGCATTCCCCACCCCGACCTGTTCTCGTTCCTTGGGAGTGATGTACTTTAACCCCCAGAGTTCACTGGGCGCCCTCAGTGGCCGAGGGTGCGGGCCAACGGCTTCGGGGGGAACAGGGTTGTGACGAGCAGCACTCCAAGTCTCACAGGGGGGGCCAGCGATGACCCCAGCAACCCACCCCTGCTCCATAAGACGCAACCAAAAGGCTACCGTGGAAACATCACTTAAATCACCATACTTCGGACTGTTAGCAATATCAATAGAGAGCACAACAACTGGGGTGGGATGCTGAGCAACAAGTCTCTCAATCCAATCCTGCACGTCGTCAGCACGCCGTTGGCCCGAGAAGAGGTGAAGAAGAAAGCGGAAGGGGCGAGAGGGGGGCGGAGCAGGAGAGAAGGCAGGAAGGACAGGAGGAGGCGGGGGGGGGGCGACGGGCTCGACCACGAGGGGTTCTTCCTCCAAAACACGGACCCCTCTGACTGGTCCAATCATGCGAACCCTGGGTAAATGGGCGAAATCATCCGTCAACCCCTTGGCCCTGTTAGCCTGCTGCTCACAACGCCGGGTAACCCGAGCCTCATCGATCTCATCCTGAGTGGGGCGCACACCACAGGCCACAAGGCCTCGGAAACAACTTTTGGACCTGGCTAGGTGTTTGTACAACCCCCCATTGGAACGGTAGTCCCACCCACAAATAGAGCAGCAGGTGCCAACGGCCATCATAGCTGGGGATGTGGGGGTGGGGTGTTGTTTGCCCCTGTGAGCGCGCAGTGCGCGCTCTGACTTGAACAGCTGGCCGCACTCGTAGCACATGTAGGATGTCACCACGTCCCCAGCGTCCCCGTCCATGGGCGTGCCGGCTAACGCCTCGTGGACCCTGCTGTCCCACAGGTGGAGCAGGTGTCGGTCACTCCACCACTCTCTCGCTCTTCGGATGACTGTTTTGATTGTGGCCCGAAAACGCTGGGGGTCCATCTGAAGTGCAGCTAGCCACTCGTCGAGCCCCCCCGTCCCAGGGACCGAATCAGGATCCATGAACGAAACTAACCAATCGAAACTCGCGGCCAAGGCCGAGACCCAGCTTCTCCGATGCAGGAGGGAAACGTCGAGAAGGGTCAGCAAGTATCGCGGCGCGAACTTGAACATCCTAACCAGGAAACGCAGCCTGGAGACATGAACAACGGCGTCCCAGGGAAGTCGATCCGCACGAGCCAAAACATCCCAATACGAAAGATGGTGCTCGGGTGAGTTGCTGGCAGGAAGTCCAAGCGCGCAGCGATACAAGAACTCGTGGCAGCTCCGCACTCTAGATTGAACGGCCTGAGGCATGGGGCGCCATAAACATGAGGCATAAAAGCATCTGCTGGATCCGAAGGCTTCCGTGTACAATATTTTGGCACGGAGAGGAAGGGAGAGGCGGAGAGCGACGGTGGCCTTGATGGGCCTGACAGCGGCCCTGGCAGACATAGAACGCGCAGAAATCTCCAGCCCTTCGGATCCAGTGTCAGCGAGCACTACCCCCAGGCACTTGTGTGAGCGCACAACGGCGACTTTTACTTTCCACTGGGGAGAAGCTAAGTAGGGCTCCGCCTGATCGAAAACCTCCCGATGGGCCGCCTGTGAGCCACGCCCCCGAAATCTCAACATGATCTTAGTCTTACTAGGGTTTAGGGACAGCCCGTGACGAGCACAAACCGCAAAAACGATATCGATGAGTTCCCCTAACATCTGTAAGAGTTCAGCTGGATCAGGCGAGGCCACGGAGGGGGTGAGGTCGTCAACGAAGGAGACTGAAGCGCACACTTCATCATGTTCGACCGCCGAGGAGAACACTCGCACAGAGGGGGTAGGCAGCCACCGAATCTCTCTCATTTCCATCTCGGCTTCTATCTCCTCTTGAACGCTCGCAAAAGCAATATTAAACACGTCTGTCGCCATCACGGTGCCAGGGCGGCACCCTGTGCGGGGAATAACGTATCCCTCAGCTCCTCCCGCGGCCCAGAAGGCCCCCCTTTGAGCCTCCCGTAGCAGGGCGACTAGATGGGGCTTCTCAATGGTCTGATCGAAGATGGGGCCTGTGATCAGCTGAGCACGAACGCCCGCAGCTAATATAGGAGGCACTGGGAGCTCATCCAAGACTTCACTGAGCATCTCCCCTTCACCTGGTAGATCATACACCAGCTGCCGGATAGTGGAGTAGAAGGCAGCCGTAAGATCACAACCCCGCGCTTCAGAGGCCGCCCAGAAGGCCTTGACAAAATGCGCAGCCGTGTCGCACGATCTACCAGGTAGCCCCCCACATTGCTGGGCCAACAGCGCAGCATACAAATAGTCCAGGGAAAGGCACCTGAGGTGCCGGTGATGTATCTTACTAATCGTGTTAGTCATCAAAATGCTGCGCTGGTTGGCGGCCAAGGCAATCAAGCCTTTCCCCTTGAAAAAGGTGCCAACACGCCCGTCTTTGAAAGCCAGGGGTTCCCTAGTGGTCATGGTGACCTTGGTGAGGAGGGGATGGATGATTTCCACCAGTTCGAGGGGGGCAAGCTTGAGCAGGTCGGGGGGAAAGCCGTCTGGACCAGGGGCCCTCCCTCCTTGGATGCCCCTCATCAACGCTAGCAATCCAACCTTCGAGACAAAAAGCTCCAGGTCCCGAGGGGCCTCATCTGGAAGGAGTGGGATCATATCATTATAGTGTCTTTGTATCCCTTCAGCATCCTCGAACTTGCCTCTCTCAACTTTGGCAAAGTGCTGCTGAAGATTGTTGGCCACGTCTGACTCCGTACACAGCGCCGTGCCGTCTTCAGTGGTCGAGTAGGGAAAAGTTGTGGGGATCTTGGGTGGGCGACCTACAAACTGCATCAAAACCTTGGTTTTTGACCATTCCGTGCGGGGAAGCCCGAAGTCCCTTGCTTCGGCAATCGTGTCCGCCTGGGCCTCAAGGTGCTTGCACCTGTCTTGCTCCAATGCCTCGGCCAAGAGCTGTTCGGTGTCAATCAGAAAACGCTGAAGCCCGAACACTGCAGCGTAGCAATTGAGCCTGCCAGAGGCCCATCCTCGGAACACCTGAGCCATAAGATCGTAGTGAGGCCTCCAGAACTGCGCTCCCTCTTGCATAGCAAGCCCAAGGATATCCCCCGATAACCATCTGCCGCTAAAGTGGGAAAGCGCATCACCATGACGAGACCCTATTTGGTCCAGAAAGGGGGCAACTTTTTTCAAGGCTCTGGTGGCCCCTCTGCGGGCGGTGATAAGATCAACCGAAGCCTGAGAAACATGCGGCTGCCTAGGTCTGCGAGGGGCTACCCCGAAAGCCTTCGATGCAGCCCTCATGACCCCAGTAGACAAGCATACGTGATGCTCTGAGACAGGGACCTGCCAGGGGACAACTGAGATCCCTCGAAGCTCTTGCTTGAAAACCTCGAGCTTCAGAGGGTCCTTATAAGCCTCTCGGTCAAGCTTCTTTCCTGGCGATATTTGGCGTACCTGGACTGCCTGCCACGCAAAAGTGGCAATCACTGGCTGGTGGTCAACATGTGTCGTAATCTTGTCAATGTCATGAAACGCGTCGGATGTGAGGGCGTGGTTGGCAAGCCATGTCTTCGCTGAGACATAGTCAATCCGATGCCTCTGCCCTTGTGGCGACTGCCACGTCCAATCGTCTGGACTGCCAAGCCATGTGTTGACAGCTCTATGCTCTGAGGCGAGCAGGAAGGTGTGTAAATGTTCTCCCCCCTCATCCTGTTTCTGAG